GGTAGATGTACATGCTAATAAATGTACCAGTACCTGTAATTTAATTAAAATGGTTAGGCTGACCAGAGTTGTGTGAGACCAATTTACATTGTACATAAAGTAAAACATGAATTATAGTGTGACAATTTTAATGTCTGAGTCCATGTTTCATAGGTTTGTAGAGAATTCTTTCATCAGTCTGGGTAATAATTATTGATCAGTTCTATATGCGGTATGGTTACTATAGCAACCACAGGTCGGCAAGTCCTGCTTAAGGGTACTGTGTGCCGTTCATGTATTCTACCAGTCTTCATTCCTATGAACTAAAGAAAATAAATGATTACTTTGTCACGATTAGAAAGCATGATCGGTTGGTTGTTGAAATTGAATTTTCTTTCCATTGCTTTGGATACATTTAATGATGCCAAGTGGTGCAGTTAAGGCTTTCATCTTATATGGTTCAGTGAGCCATCACTGAAGAGAATTTGAATAGCAGCAATTTTGGAAGTTTCTCAATACATTCTTTTTTAAAGAAAAAAAGCAATTTTGAATTTATTGAATACTCTCTAAATTAATGAATTTTAATGGCAAAATTTCTTTGACATGTAGTTTTTATGGATATGGATTTGTAAAAAAAAATTTTTATTGGAAGAAAACATTGAATTGTGAAAAAAACATTGAATTGTGAAAAAAACATTATTGAATTGTGAAAAAAAACATTTTTTAAGACCTAATGTGAGAGAGATGTGGTGGTAGGAACCGACACCAGTGGTGTTTTTAATGATCTTTAAGTGTCCTTTTTTGGAGGAGTTTCCAGATGTGTTTGTGGTGTTGATTTGTTTGTTGTTTTTGTTTTATTTTATTTATTATGGATTGTTTTGTTTACTACTGTACCTACTGTCAGCCAGCAGTGATCGTAGCACTAACGGTAAGATTCACTTCCTGTATCTTTTGAATTTCAGAACAAATTTCACAATAAATAAGCTGTCTAATAATGTGTGGGCTGTGGTTCATCATATCGGTTACATATATGTACATGAAATTGTAATTGTAGGGTAGATTGATTAAACTAATAATGTGTTGGCCGTGGTTCATCATATCGGTTACGAAATTGTAATTGTAGGGTAGATTGATTAAAATAATATTTGTGGTTAACTTTGCCAGACACTATTCCGGCCATTACAAAAGTGATATAAAATTAGACTAAAGGATAAAATTGTTCAATCACCTCAGTGATGGGATTTCGCCTACATTCCGGACATGTCTGACGCTATTTTCCAAACGTTCTAAAGTTTCAGATATATTGTATGACTTCGCTGGAAGCGGGCATTAAATAAAGCTTTTTCCTTCTCACATATATCCGAAAAATACTAGACAATGCAAGCTCTGCTTCTAATCAGACGCGGTTATAGTACAATAACTGAAACGGAAGTAGAAATCTTGCGAGACACGTGAAATTATGAAATGGAAACATGACAAAACTACACGTCTAATATCGGAGAAAAGATTCTATATTCTCAGATTTATGATCATATTTTGAATGGGGTTTATGTTTTTAAATAAATAAATAAATACGCTAAGAAATGTTGACAAATATTTCGATTGGAATAGTGTAAGTAGTTAATTGTTCTTTTCGATAGCGCGTGCTAGAATCGAACGCGATTATTTAGCAGATGATGTCACTCGCTCAATGTGGTAGAGCGACGAGGGAATTTGAAATGGGTACCAGTCGTCAGTAGTCGGCACACTTTCATTCTATCGTATTACGACAACACATAATTTTGTAGGAATATTAATGATATAAATTTGAATACCGTACGGGAATTAAATATGAAAAAAAAAGTTGCCCCTATTTTTTTATTACGTACAAATTTGAATATATTTTTGATACATGATTTTTAATTGTGGGCTGAAGTCGCCTGCTTAAATAACGATAAGAGTTACGCCCCTTTATTTTCGGTAAAAATGTCCGACAAGAAAAATTTTGAAATCCCAACACTGGTTCACCTTATGTCAAAAGTAAAAGAAACCATGCCAAAGTTATTTATAGAAACACCATGGGTATGGGGTAACTTTGAGTTTGACAAGAAGTTGGGAGAAACATTGGCTTACGGTTAATGACCCCCAATATTATTCATTTGATAACATCTGAAGATGTCCACATGTCCCTGTTAAACCGTTTCTATGTATGAAGCTGCTGGAAGTAAATTAAATAATTATAAAAGATGTGTAGAAGATCAGATATCAGGACTACATGTAATTAACACCTGTGTGTTAGTCCCATTATAAGATCAATTTACATGTATAGACATCAATATAAACATCCCTTTCCTCTAGTACATGTAATATAATCACCATCTGCAATAACATATGGCCATCATATTAAGTTATTATATAATACGTATGATATAATATTTATAAGAGAACTCATTCAGGTGGTAGTGGGAAATTAGTCATTGGTCTGTGTTTTTTCCGCTCTAGAATCGCGATGTTTTCCCATTTGCTCTCCGCGAAAATAATAGACATTCTTGGCGGAAATATAAAAAAGTGGGCGAATTATAGCCAGCGAAAATATAAAGTCAGTGAAAGTCAGATTTATCCGTGAAAATTATTAATTAAATATAATTGGCCGAGTATGGGCTGCAAAAATTTGTAATGTTCAAATGAATTTCGTCCATATTGTTACAGCTGTATTTAGGAGATAAACGCGTTTTGGGTCCTAATGTAAAATCTCAGGACAAGTCTATTGCCCAATAACACCCCTCTAAATGCGAATCAGGAAGTGTTTATCGACATTGTACATGCTATTTTAGCATTTTAAAAAAAATTACTAAAACCGAGGGGTGTTATTGTCCAATCAACAGTGTCTAATTGACCAATCAAAATGCAAGATTCACCCTAAAGCATGTTACAATGGAACAATAACGCAGGTTACCTGTTCTTCTGTAGTGTCCTGTGACTTTCTATACATGTATATATACCTTTCGCAAATTTGGTTATAAAAAGTAACTAAAACAGGCCGATACATATATCCTAAACTATCCTTTGTTTCTAATGTTCTTCTATATTAGAATTGTGAATCATATCACAAAGCACATATACAGTATAGTACATGTTGCTAGTTTGGGTTAATTTTACACACAGGCAACGAAACCATGTATCATGAATTCTGATAGCATTATTAGAAAATGGGCGACCGCTTGTCTATAAGTACATGATTTGTATTTATCTGATAAACCATCCTTTATTCCTAATATACATGTACATGTACATCGATACGGTATTAGAATCGTAAATCATATCAAAAAGCACACACATACATGAAGCTATTGTGGATGTCAACGCTCAATCCGACAAGCAGACAATGAAACCATATTTCTTGAATTCTGATGGCACTGTCTGAAAATGGACGACAACTTGTCTATAAATATATATTTAGAAAGTACATGATTTGTATTTATCTGTATTACATGTAAGTCATCCTTTATTCCTGATGTACATGTACATGTACATCAGTATTAGAATTGGGAATCAAAGCACATACACATACGTCAACGCTTAATCCGACATATTTCGGGAATTCTGATAGTTAGCACTGTCTGATAATATATTCAGGAGGTAGCAATTCGCACCTTCAGCTTTAATTGTGAAAAATAATTTAAGGATTTTTGTAGAAGTACAGTACATGTAGCTGTCTGGAAATATATATTCTGTACATGTACATTTGTGGGTGAACCCAGTCAGAATTATAAAACTGAATTTCGTGGTGTATGAGTCATGAGTTCATTCATACATGTACATTTATAGCATCTATACATTCAGTAGATGGTCCGATGAGAATTGAAAAGAGTTCAAACCTGAAAATACATGTACATTGTAGGACTTGTCATCATTGTAAAAAAACACATTTAGTTTCTTAGGCATGTCCAACACATGAAAATTTACCGCACATGTTGATGATGATGTTGATGATGATAATCGACCATTTACCGTAGGTGTGGATTTATCAGTACATGTAACAGTCTATTGAAGCCTAAATGACCTACAGCATATAGAATTAATATACATGTACGGAAATAATTTCTAAAGTACATGATTAGAATCAGACAATACATGGTCATGTACATGCACACAATATTAAAAGCGGTATGTAATTTAGGCTTATTTATGGAAGATAGTCTTTAATTAAAGAACTGAATCAGAATCGGCTTTTGTGCCAATCTGATTTATCTGCCATATGATATGTACGTGTATAGAGTTGAATGAAAGTGATTGAGTAGTTTGAATCAATATTGATAAACCTATGAATCATGGCAGATATTTATTGCAAGTAGACGTATTACTAATAAATCAAACAGACACTACACAATCAATCACAACATACAGGAGATAAGCTAGTGCGTGTTCATTTTATGAGGAATTTGTAACTGCAGTGCATTTATGCATGTAGCGGGTTAGTAAACTAAACTGCAGAGATATGGAAAACTACATTCAAATGAAAAGATTTGTCATTAGAAAATAAAAATACAAAAATATCATATGACTTCTTGACTGTTATACCTACATGTACAGGGCCCTTATTCACGAAAACTTAAACTAAGTTACAACCGAAATTTTAAGAAATACTGCAACTTCATTGGATATATGCAAATTGATTTTACTGGTTAGCCAATCTAATTGCAGTATTTCTTAAAATTTCGATTGTACATGTATCTTTGTTTTAGTTTTCGTGAATAAGGGCCCAGTACACTATGAAAACCAGACAAAAATGTTAACAAAGCAAGCGTAAAGGACACTTTGTAAAAACTTGTGTTTCAGGAAAAAATTGAAATGTACATGTAATCTTGGCCTTAGTTCTGACATTATGATTAATATATGTACCAGTATCTGAATCTTGAAAAAAAAACATGACCTTGTATGATGATAAGATATATGTGCAGGAATAAATTGCTGGACTCTTCAGCCTGAACAAAAAAATTTTTCATGTACGGTAATAATTGAGTTTGATTTTATGTTTTCAGTAAACAGTCAAAATGACCGAGGTCCAACCTCGCGAGATCAAGATATTGGAGACGGCAGAGGATATCCAGAATCGCCGTGAAGAAGTCTTGGGCCGCTACTCAAACTTTAAATTAAACTGTAAGGAAAGACGCGAAAAACTAGAAGATTCCAGACGATACCAATATTTCAAACGAGATGCCGATGAACTTCAAAGTTGGATTTTGGAGAAATTACAAACAGCTTCAGATGAAAGTTACAGAGATCCAACTAATTTACAGGTAAAAAATAGTTTTGTAATATGATATCATATGGCTTTAGATATATGTGTGAGTGTGAAATAGCTCTATTTTACGTCCACTTCCGCGAAAATGATATCACAGACAAGCTTTATATACTGCCAATAGTACATGTACATGTAAGCTTACAAGGGCCATTGAACTACAGGGTCTGGTTTCTGTAAAAACACAATTTTATTTACTGTGTACAATAATACTACAATGTATTTATCGCAGATTGGCAGTAAAGTTGAATTCCCTCTGGCATCAATCAAATCCGATCATCACTAAGTTAATTCAGTCATAGATTCAAACATTTGCTATACTGCATAGCACTGATCATTCAAAATGTCTACTTGATCCACAATAATGAGCCATTTTACTAATTTTAAGAAGATTAATGACTAACAGACATTTTCAATCAATATAATGTAAAAATATTATGGTTCAAAGGACAAATGTTTTCTTCAACACTAATTCCACTGATGATGATATTTCATTTGATTGATGAGGGCTCTAAAAGAATGTTCAGATACTGGTACATGTACATGGATATATATTGATAACCCAAAGATCTTGGTTTCTTTCAATATTCACAGATAACATCCAGAATTATGTCCTCTGATTGTATGAAAAATCACGTTTTTTGCTTGTTGTCCCTCTAGAGGTTGCAATTATTATCCGATTTAAAAAAACGTTTGAATATAACACTGTTACACCCTAACAATGGTTGAGTTCGAATTTCGTGAAAATCGAACTAAAACCGCTGGTTAAAATTGGCTGCCCCTATATGCAAAAAGTGTTAAAATATGGTATATATATCAAGGTTGTGGACCCTCTAGATATGTTTATATCACAAAAATTTTAGTTCCTTTCATTGATCGCTCATATCCGAATGTAACTTCCTAGATTATGCCTCTTGATTGTTCGAAAATCACATTTTTGGCTTGTGGACCCGTTACAATGTAGAAGTCACAATTTGTATTCAATTTTAAAAAAACGTTTAAATATATCACTGTTGCACATCAATGAAGGTTGAGTTCGAATTTTGTAAAATTCTGACCGAAACTGCCAGACAAAATAGACCCTTTTGTACGCAAATAGTGTAAAAGTATGTAATACCAATGTTATGGACACTCTAGAAGTCCCAAAGATCTCGGTTCATTTTGCTATTTGCGCATATCAGACAGTAAGTTTCTGGATTATCGCCGTGGATTGTACGAAAAATCGCTTCTTTTTTTTTGAAAAGGAAAGTAAGTATCCATAGAAATAAAAATTAGGTTTTTCTCAAAATGTTGAAGTACATGTATTTTGTCGATAAGACATTGGTTGAACCACATTCCATGTATCCTAGTAAAGACAAGAACTGACTTCACACATTGAACATTAAAAAAAAAAATTGAGAATCGTTCTTGCTGTCTAATTTAAAACACCTTATCAACGAATAAACACTAATAAGAGTGAAATTACTTAAGAAACCCATTTTACACTTATCAAGAACATAATCTCTAAGATATTGACCAGACCCCTACATACATCTGATGTCTGGGTCAGAATGACCAAAGTTACGTTGTCTGAGAACAATTAGAACCTAATTTGATTTTCAATAAGTCTACATGTACATGCACTTCGATTATCTATGCTACTTCTGTTTTAATGATGCCACTAATTTTGTATTTTCAGGCCAAAATACAGAAACATCAAGCGTTTGAAGCTGAAGTAGCAGCTCACGCTAATGCTATTGAAATTCTTGACCAAACGGGCAATGAGATGATCAATCAAGAACACTTTGCTTCACAAGTTATACAGGTAAATTTAACATCCAATTATGTCAAATCATTTTGGCCCTTTGTCAGTTTGAAAAATTGATAGGAGTAAATTTGACATCCATTTGTTTCAAATCATTATGGCCCTTTGTCTATTTAAAAAATTTATTTTGTGGACTCCCTCTAGTGGCTAATTTTATCTTTTATCTTTTAAGTTCATGAGGAGATAATTATTACTTCTAGGTTTGTAGCTGTTGGCCACTTTTTAAAATCTTGTTGTCCCTCATGTTTCATTGATTTGAAATTTATGCAGTGTTTAAGTTCCTAAGGCAAAGAAATCTATTGATTTTCAATGATTTCCATTTTATCATTTGGATAACTTTACATGTGGGTGTTTCATTGCAAGGACAACAGTATCTTTAATGATCATGTTAATTTTGGGTGGATGTTAAGCCCCATTTCTCTCTTTGTCTTGGACTTTAACCCTAATTTAAGTATTTTATACATCATCGGTTTATCATAAGATGAAGAAGTAGTCATAAAGTAATTATGTTGTCAATTATCTGAATCGTCCAAAGAAATAATAGCACTGTCTCTGTCCACATATTGTATGAAAACATTTAATCTGAAAGTACATGTAACTGTAAATGTGTTCTTTCAGGAAAGACTAGAAGAATTATGGAGACTTTGGAAACTTTTGTTGTCCAAATTAAACGACAAGGGATTGAAATTGCAGCAAGCCCTACGATTGGTCCAGTTTACACGAGAATGTGATGAAGTTATGTTTTGGATTCACGATAAGGTTAGTAAGGGGGTAAAGAAAAAGACACGAATAATATACTAGTCTTAATTTGTAACAGGGTAGCTATCAAAATTGTAACAGGGTAGCAATCAAAACAGGGTGACACAAAAGTAAAAGCCCCTTTGTACATATTGGGATATATCTGGGCCTAGATATCTTGAGTACATTTCTAAGTCTGTTTCACGTTAAATGTCTCGTAAGAAAAGGTTAAATAGTAATATTACTAATTAAAATCCATTTGGATTGAAAGTTATCTCGCTGATTGCTTGGGTCAGAATTAATAGTAGATTCTTTCAAAAATCACTGAGAAAAAAACAAAAGTTCACTGAAATTCACTTTTGTTTAAAATATGCCTAGCCCCAGGAAATATGGATAACCACATAATTTGGTCATAAAAGACAATAGCCATCTATAACTTAACGTCATTAGGAATGTAAAAAAAAAGTTTGTTAAATGTCAATCCACTTTGCTGTAGAATGGTTCAAGTTGAAGACATGGTGGCCGTAGAAATGTCATTCGACTAGGAGAAAGGTTAAAGAATCCACTTAATTGTTTATTTCACTGGCTGTTTTTACATCATGACAACTGGAGTACATTACACTCGTAAATAAAAGGCTTAATTGACAAAGTTTTTCAAAATGTCACTGCCTCTAATATGCTAGCTGGAAGCATAAGTGTTTATGACATACTAGGAACTTTGAGGCTGTATATACTTCTTCATATAATGCCAAAGTGTTAGTAACATTATGTAAATGTTCTGCATTCACATTTGCATCATTCGAATAAAGATTTTAAAAACTAGAAATGCCCTGTTTCTAAGAGCTGTTATTGGGAAAATAAAAGTTCACAGCTTTGTTTTCGCCTGTCCAACCTCGCGGGTTTTCTCCGGGTCCTCCGGTTTCCTCCCACTGCTAAAGATCCCTATGCGCAAGCGAATTATTGAAATAAAATTAAAACCATGTTAGTCCTGAAATGACCTAGTTGAGTCGAGTGGACGTTAAACCCCATTTCTCTCTCTCTCTCACACAGCTTTGTTTGCTTGGCATGTTGCACATGTGTTATACACAGTTGCAATAGTGAACAGTACCCCTTTAAATTGATTCCTAGTGTTAACAAACCGGACCTGATATATAATACAGTGTCTTAATAGTCAACACAATCTTTTAGACACAGGGTCCCACAGGAAATTTGTGAAGTGTGCGATGATTCGTTGACCAGACTCCACTTCACAGATTGCTTACTCAATATATATTGTCTGTGTTATTGTTGCCTGTTGTTGTGTAAACTAAGAGTCTTGCTGTCTGTCTATATCATTCATTATTGATTGATTTGTGTTACATGAATAATTATTATTATTACAGGAAGCTTTCGTGTCATCAGAAGAGTTTGGTATTGATCTAGAACATGTTGAAGTTCTACAGAAGAAATTTGATGAGTTCCAAAAGGTTAGACATATTGGAATTTTTCCAGAGTATATTGAAATTATTTTGAGATAAAAGATTTCCTATCGTAGTGCTTTTAAACTGACTTAGCTTATTAAAAAAAGTACTGTTTGGGAATTGAAATTCCATTTCTATATGGCCACATTGAAATCTGGTCATATTGTCATCACACCAGTGTGGCTCTCCATCTAGTCATAGTTCACAAGCCCTAGAGGCTACAGTTAATCGTCCAGTTGATTTAAAATGTGTACTGGTTTATGACGCCATTTAGCCTATTCAACTATTTTCTATAGTAACTTTCAGAACTATGACCTGTGATCACTTAGCTGCTGTGAATATTCATTGCCTTTCAACCTATTTTATAAACACAGATTAGATTTCTTTGTGACCAATATCGAAATAAATAAATTCTCTCTTTTAAGAAGAGTTATGATTGAGGCTCATACAAATATACAGCAAAAGAGGTTTTATTGCCATGTCATTGTAACAAATGGAACCACTCATTCATTTTGATTGCATTCTAATTAAATCCTTTTTTTATCCATCAGGATCTCTCAAATCACGAAGACAAAGTAACAGAAGTTAATAAATTAGCGGAACAATTACTAGTTGAAGGTCATCCAGATGAAGAGACTATCACGAATCGACAACAGGAAGTTAATGAGGCATGGCAGAGATTAAAATCTCAATCTTTAACCAGACAAGACAGATTATTTGGTGCTCATGAAATACAGAGATTTAATAGGTATGTGTTACGATGATTCCATATTAAGGTGCTAAATCTCGTTGATTTAGGTCAAAATAAAGTGTTGAATTTTGAGTTATATGATGTTATTTTGATAATTAACTGGTAATCTTTTTTATACGCCCACATGGAAATGTGGTCGTATATTGCCGTCGCCCCCGTCCGTCTGTCCATCGTCCACAATTTCTTGTGAACACTCTACAGACTACATTTATCAACCGATTGTTTTGAAATTGATATATGTTGTTTGCATTAATGAGATGAAGAAGCCTATTTAATTTCAATAACTTCTGTTAATTTCTTCTGGAGTTATGGCCCTTGTTTTACTTTGTTGCACCTTGTGAACGCTCTAATGACAAAAGTTATCAAACGATTTGTATGAAATTTATATGCATCATTTAAATTAGTAAAACAAAGAAGCCTATTGAATTTCAGAAATTTCCGTTGATTACATCTAGAGTTATGGCCCTTGTTTCACTTTGTTGAATATTGTGAACGCTCTAATGACATCAGTTATCATCCAATCTGTTTGAAATTGATATGCATCATTTAAATTAGTGAAATGAAGTAGCCTATTGAATTTCAGCAATTTCTGTTAATTACGCCGTGAGTTATGGCCCTTGTTTCACTTTGTTGTACCTTGTAAATGCTCTAACGACAAAAGTTATTATCCGATCTGTATGAAATTTATATGTATCATTTAAATTAGTAAAACGAACAAGCCTATTGAGTTTCAGTTATCACCTAAATTAGTGAAATGAAGACAAACAAGCCTATTGAATGTCAGCAATTTCCATCAATTACGTCTAGAGTTATGGCCCTTGATTTACTTTGTTGAACTTTGTGAACTTTCGAACAACAAAAGTTATCATCCGATCTGTATGAAATTCAAATGCATTATTTGAATTATTAAAACGAATAAAGCCTGTCGAATTTGAACAATTTCTGTAGATTGCTTCCAGAGTTACGGCCTTGTTTTAGATTTTAGAACCTTGTGAACCTTCAAACAACGGAAATTATAATGTCATCTGTATGAAATTGTCTATTAAATTCCCCTAATTACCTACAAAAGAATAAATATGTGACAACCCTTGTCGACTGCTCGGACGATTTAGCTGCTGTGGGCGTATGTTTTGTTGCCTGGCAACCTATCTTTTGATTTAATATTTGTTTTCCACCAAATTAAGCGAAAGTCTGTCGTTTACCAATTTTAATTTCATTTTGTACTTAAACTGTGGAAATGTCATCTGAATGCAGTAACAGTATTATTACTGAATTGTTTATTTTTACAGAGATGCCGATGAAACGATTGCCTGGATTCAGGAAAAAGACACAGTTTTGTCGTCTGATGAATATGGTCGGGATCTGGCCAGCGTTCAGGCTCTTCAACGTAAACATGAAGGTGTTGAACGAGATTTGGCAGCCCTGGAAGAGAAAGTGACAGTCCTTGGAACAGAATCTAAGAGATTGGTCGAAACTCACCCAGAAAATTCTGAACAAATTGAAAGTAAACAGAAAGAAATTGATGGAAACTGGGCACAACTCAAATCTAAGGTAAGATTGACTGATTAAAATTAATATATTTTCTATATTTATTTCTGAATATTAGTTGATGGCACTGGTTAACGTCACTAATATTTTGTATGGGAGACAAAAAAATGACCAAATTTTAATAGTTTTAACATCAAATACCAAAGGTCAGTTTGAATAGCTTTGCAAAATTATTTAAATATTTGTGTGAGTATTCCATTAAAATTCTAATCCTTCCATTAAAAACGTAAGCCTGAACTAAACATATTAGATATGTTTTATATATTCTAGGGATTTGAACGTAAAAATCGTCTGGACGATTCCTACCATCTACATCGTTTCTTGGCCGATTTCCGTGATCTGGTTTCCTGGATACATGATATGAAGGCTATAATTGCTGCTGATGAAATGGCCAAAGATGTCACAGGAGCTGAAGCTTTGTTAGAAAGACACCAAGAGCACAAGGTATCCCATTTAATCTAATTAGTTTTAACATAAACACTGGTAAAGAATAACAATTGAATTTCCTACAAAATTAAACAGCGTGCTGCTAAATGTTAATCGCAATCAGATTTCTTGAAGTACTGCCAAAATAATAATGAGTTGATATTTTTATTTCTAGGGAGAAATTGATGCTCGTGAGGATAGTTTCCGCTCTACAGCAGAAGCAGGAGAGAAGTTGGTCGAGTCAAATCATTATGCTTCAGATGAAGCCAGGGAAAAGGTAAGAATTGCTTTTAATTTGGAAAATGTGTTTGAGAATGTCGCACATAAACGGTCAAAAAGGAAAATGTCAGTCGAGTGGGTAATGGTAGTGTACTCTTCAACTACAATATGGTGGCCAAGGTGGACCTCAAAATTGTACAATCCTGGTTCATACTGTCATTCAGACAAGTAAAGTAATGGCTTGCACATAAAAAAAACGATGACAGTTTGAATTCAAAGTGCCACTATGTGGCGATATTTAGCTCACTATCATGACCTTAGAAAAAAACCCAACTGTGTTAGTCTCGAAATGACAAGTATTGTGTTGACAAGATGTTAAACTATTATATTCCATTCAATCAGATTTCTATGGAAAGGGGGTATATTTTATATAATCCAAATAGATAACACGTATCACATCAATTGATGGGTCTATTTATGTGTTCGTTAATATTATTATTTATTATATCACAGCTTCAAACACTAGCATCAGAGAAACAGAGTTTAATGGAATTATGGGAAGAGAGAAGAATACTGTATGAACAGTGTATGGATTTACAACTCTATATACGAGATACAGAACAAGCTGATGCCTGGATGACAAAACAAGAGGTAAGTAACTTGGTTTGCCGATGCTTTCAAGTATGATAACTTTCATTCTAATTGAGTGAGAGTGAGGAAACTTAGTGTATAGTTCCATTACATCAATACAGTGACAAATTCCAATAATGAACATCTTCTGCAGAGTGATAAACAGTTTGATTGATGGATGCTTTATGAAAACGTAAATATGAAAGTAATTAATATGTGTTATCTCTTTATTTCGAGATTGAGGTGGGGCACACCAGCCTCACTCTCTTGTCAATTTTCATATCTTATCAAAATGCGGATGAAATACATATGACTATATTTTTAAACTGAAAAGTGATTTTAATATTTGTTTTCCTTTAGGCCTTCCTGGCGAATGAAGATTTAGGTGATTCCCTAGATAGTGTTGAAGCCTTGATTAAAAAACATAACGATTTCGAGAAATCCCTCGCAGCACAAGAAGAAAAAATCAAGGTTGGTATTTAAATAGTTTAAAATCAATAATAATGTTTGAATTTATGCCGTGGATCATTTTCAATGCCCAACTGGTTGTTTGTCCAGAGTTTTTATGTTAAATGCCTACAAGTATAATTATTTAGATAATTTCTTTGTAATAGTTTGTTGTAATATTTGATTTTATTTGGCAGAGTCTAGATGAATTTGTAGTAATATTTGATTTTATTTCACAGGGTCTAGATGAGTTTGCTACCAAATTGATAGAAAGTGAACATTATGCATCTGATGATGTCAATCAAAGACGAAATCAGGTAGGTTGTACAGGATTTGAATTCTGATATAAAAAGGTGTTCACAGGGGCATCTGCAAGGCTGACAAGAAAAGTGTATCTAGTACGAAAAACCAAGGTCCACCCATGTAAGCATTGGCATTGCATGTCAAAAGAATCCTTGACAATTGGGATTTGAATTAGAGTAGGCATAGACGACTCTATCCAAACAAAATTCTCCTTATCATATTGCGTGTGTAAACACTGACATAAAAATGGTTAAATGTTTGTCTCAAAATAGCCAAAGTATTGTGTTGAGGAAACATTGGACCCCATTTCATTCATTCTTACAAAAACGATTCACTCGGATTATAAACCCAACTTATTAACATTATTTATAATGACAAAGCATTACCCATAGGAATATTGTAGTAATTTGAACATTGATATTTACAACCCTCAGTATCTGAATGATTTAATAATAATGATTTCTTTATTAATTACTTTCAGCTATTGGAGAGACGATTGCTCTTGAATGAGAAGGCCACCAGACGAAGACAATTGTTGGAGGCTTCACTACAATGGCATGTGTTTGAACGGGATTGTGATGAGACAAAAGGCTGGATCAATGAAAAACTGAAAACTGCATCAGATGAAAGTTACCTGGTAAGAATTTATTTAAAAAATAGACATTAAGATACGTCTTAACTTGATGAAACATTGACAATTTCTTAACCCGTTAAGTGTGTGGGTCGTTATATAACGTCCTGGACAACTTCCACTCACTGTGTGTAGGGCATAATATAATGCCTTGGAGGTATTTTCCCCAACCTATTTATAGAACATAGTTCGTCACTTGGGGGAATCCCTTGGGAATTCCCCCACAATCGCAGCATGTGTAGGACGTTATATTATGTCCTGGACAACTGCCACTCACTGTGTGAAGGGTGTATAATAGCACCTTGGAGATATTTTCCCCAACCTATTCTTAGAACATAGTACACAGTTCTTCGTCACTTCGTCAAATTAATTACACAATAGGGAGTAGTTAATGTTTTAAAAACTTCACGCTTAACGGGTTAACATGTGTGTCAGAAGGTATAAAAATCGAGATTTTGCACAGCTTCAAAATATACGAATGGAACAGTCTTGAAATATTGGAATTTGTATTAGATTTAATTCTGATGTAGTATTAAGAAAGCATCAAGATGTGCTGAAGTCATAAAAATTACCTCATACCAAAAATGGACACAGAAATGGACTAATTTGGATTGAAGACGCCATTTTTACAAAGGAGTAACCTTTTCTAAGTAGGCACAGCTTGAAATATATATTGATCACTTGCAAAATTAGGATTTGTAAACCCTCTGTTTCAGGTGGTAACAATTAATGAAATAACAGGTATCCTAATGTTTGCAAAACGTACATGTTTGACTTAATTCCTGATTTATTAAAATCATTAACTAATCAATTTTCAGGATCCTACCAATCTTACTACCAAGTTACAGAAACATATGAATTTTGAATCAGAACTGGATGCCAATAAAAATCGAATCAGCACAATCAAGACAACTGGCCGTGAATTGGTTGAAAATGGTCATTTTGCTTCTGATGCCATCAACGATAGAGTTGAAGAAATAGAAAGATTGTGGGATACCCTGCTAAAACAGACAGAAAAGAAGGGTATTGTAAAAATTTGTCAAATATTTTTCCCAGGTTTTATTAGTCTAATAACAAATCTCATAAATACTACTAACCAGGAGGTCTCGGGTTCGATCTCAGTGTTGGCTGAGCAAGTTCTCCGGAATTTTCCAGGGTGGTTCCCTCTTGTCAGTGGTGCAAGACGGAGGACCTGGCAAGGAATAGTGTCTAGTCGTTCGGATGTGATGGGGGAAAAAACTGAGGTCCCATAAAATAGTCCTTGACAGTTGGAATTCAGTTTCTGTCTAGGCTAAATTTTCCCACAGTACACTGTATAGCATATACCTGTCTTAATTAGCCTGGTTGGTACAGATAGATAGGACATACATGCATTCCGGTGTGGTTTTCCCTGACAAGGACAGCTGTCTAGTCGTTCTGATGGGACGAAAAACCGATGTCCGGTGTATACATTGGCATGCAGGTAAAATATCTCTTGACAGTTGGAATTTGATATAAGAGTAAGCCATAGTGCCGCTGCCTGGGCAAAATTTTCCTCATAGCACACTGTATGGTGCATACCCGTCTTCATTAGCCCAGTCGGAGCAGAACAGTTTTATTTTTTCTTTTCATACATTCATTCTAACTGATCTGATCTCTCAGAATAGTAAACGACCAGTATTGAACTGACAGTGTTAATCTAAATTGTCAGAAGTTTTGAGTGGTGTGTATTCCTAGAAAGATTTAAGATTTATTATTGTGTTTTTATTTTGTCCAGGCAACAAGCTGAAACAAGCCAGTAACCAACAGAACTTTAATCGTAATGTTGATGACGTTGACTCATGGCTGCGTGAAATCGAAGGACAGATTGGATCTGAAGATTACGGCAAGGTAAGTTTAGTTTTACAGCGAAATCTTCTTTCCTTTGTGTCCTTGTTATAGTAGTTTACCTTTAATTATTAAAACTTGGTATGATTGTTTTTTTTGGTATAAGGAATAACCCTATCAATTTTCAAAACAGTATGTTGAATGTTTTGAATTTTCAAAAAAAGCTTGCCCTGCAGGATTTGATGACATTGATATTAGAGCTAGCAAAGATGAATTTGCTGCTGGTGATCATATTGGGTGTCTGAAAAATCTCTGTCCCTTTTTATAAAACTTTGCATGTATGGTATTTATTAAGAACAAGAAAATCTAATGATTTCCTGATAATTTCACAATGATTTAAACAAGATAATATTACTCTGGCTTCAACTACTGAGTCTGACGTTATTTGCAAATCTAATACATGATTGTGGCTACATTAGATTTAGTAGGCTCTTGTAATATCTAGAAAGATAGAATGTTTTTGTTTTCCTGGAAGATATGTTTTTTAATGGATGGTTGTGTATTCAGGATCACAACTGTCTAGGAAATATATCTTTATAAAGTTTTTATACGCCCACATTTTCATGTGGACGTATATATAGTTCCATCCGTCTGTCCACGATTTGTTTGTGGATACTCGACAGGTCACAATTCTTATCCGATTTTGATGAAACTTAAAATGCAGGTTTATCTCCAAAAGATCTGGGTTCCTTTGATATTGACATGTATCAGATCAAACTTCATGGATTATGACCCCTGATTGTACGAAAAATAATGTTTATAGCTTGTGGACATTCTAGAGGCCACAATTGTTGTCCGATATAGATGAAACTTGAAATATATGTTTATAACCCAAAGATCTCGGTTTCTTTTGATATTCGCACATATCGGACCGTAACTTCCTGGATTCTGGCCCCTGATTCTATGAAAATCGCTATGTTTTTTTTAGCTTGTTCTCTATTCATTTCTTGCAAAATGTGGGCGTATCTTGCCTGGAAGTCGCTGGTTAGACCTTTTTAGAAACCATCTGTGTCTGTTCTTTACTTTCGTATTCTTCTGTCATTTGTTTATATCTCTCTACTTTACCTTCAAATCCTGACTTTATTAAACGTCTTTTGTTCTTATCTTATGAAGCTGTCGAAATATGTGAGTTTATCCAGTCTTTTTATTGTTCATCTTTATTGAATGTTTTATTTCCATTCTGTATATTCTATATATATTCATTTGAATTTGCATGTCGCTTTTTCATACATTACAGTCGTAAACAATTACGCATTATTTTAGATAAAGCAGTCATGGGAGATCTATGTCCAAGTTTTACATAAAACCTTGTTAGAATTTTCATGGAAGAGAAATTATGAAATAGAATTTGTATATGAAAATTGTCACCAAGACAGTTCTTTATATTATAAATCAATCTCCCTTGCAGAATTACTTAGTTAAATTTATCCACTACAACAGAGTAAAAAAAAAACTGAACTTTCAAAAAATCATCATTTTGAATGGCTTTGAAGTTAGTCTAATCACTCATATTCAGACATTAAATAATATACAAATTATTGTCATTAATAAAGAACTTAGCCATTTGCCAGATTTTATATATTGTATTTTATTGATTATCTAGTATTAGAATAGTTTCTATAATGTAAAACCACAAGTACAAATCAGTGCTTCTTGAATTAATGAATTAAGACACAGACCTGTTGTGTGTAACAGTTATCTTCTTAAATTTTTAATTCATGGCTTAGGCAATACAATTTTACTTCAGGTTGAACATTATAGAAAATATTTGAGTACCATGTAATGAATAAGATGTAAACAATCTGCAACAACTGGACTTCTTCTTTAACATTCAAATAAAATACATACTGTCTAATTTAAGTAAATGTATAATATCTCATTAATAGTTGCTTTAATAGGACAAAATAGTGTATTTTATTCAACTAGATAAAAACACCTGAAAATATTCTCGATTCGGAATGCATATCTAATAAATAGTTGCTTCTCTAGGACAAAATACAATATATTATATTCAATTAGTGTGCTTTAGAGATACGAACACATAAAAATATTCAAAATACATGATAGTCGCTTTTATATTAGGATAAAATACTATATTTAATTAGTGTGCTCTGTAGATATCAACACATGAAAATATTCAAGATACGTGATAGTTGCTTTATTAGGATAATATACTTTAACATATATAATTAGTGTGTTCTATAGATATGAACATTCATTATATTTAATTAGTGCATTCCTATAAACCTGACTATTCATTATTCTAGTATGTTCAACAGCAATACGTGACTGCACAATGGTCGTATGAAGTCAGTGCTGATTAGACATTTTTATTTAAATTAGTTTTCAATCTAGAGTGCATACAAACATATTTATATACAATTTATTATATTTCCGCAAAAAATAGATATTGAAAGAAAAACATTACACTTGCAGCTTTAACATTTTCTAATAGAAAGATTACAAGTAGGCCTACATATTCTAGAGTAATCGTTCAAAAAATATTCAGTTTCCGTTAAGTTCTGATTCACTACTGTAGTCTATTATACAGAACACAACTAGATAAAGCGAACCCTCTCTCTGAACTGCACATAAACCAGTGACATATTGATGGATAAATGTATTTACGTTTGGATAAGATGTGTACATTTTATTGTTGAGTTTTATTTTTGTTTTATTTGTTGAGAAGCTTGTGTTGTATTGTATGATTGGTGAAGCTATAGTAATCAAGTTTCCTATATTTCATATTATCCATGTATTCTCAAGGATCTTATAGTAAAACATCAACGAGTACCTCACAGCAAATTGGGTTTCAATAATGCTCTTTTCTGTATTGTTATCCAATTTAATCTTCTCTGTTCTCATTCAAACCGAACTATAAAATGACTACAAATACTGCACCTGTCATTGAAACTGGGGGCCGAGGTAGTCGAGCTGTAAGTGCACTGGACACTCAACTAGAATGTTGCGGGTTTGAAACCTCCAGAATTTTCCAAACCTGATTGACAATTTTTACCAATAAGTATTGGTTGTCAGGATAAGTAAAGTACGAAATCACGTGGCTAAGTGGGTAAGACGCTGACTCGCTAGCCTGGAGGTCGGGTGTTGGATCCCTGCATTGGCCGAGAAAGTTCATCCAGATTTTTGGTGTGGTTTCCCCCTTGTCAGTGATGCAGGACGGAGGGCCTGACAAGGACAGCTGTCTAGTCATTCGGATGGGATGAAAAACCGAGGTCCCGTGTACACATTGATGTGCACATAAAAGATCCCTTGACAGTTGGAATTTGATATATAAGAGTAGGCCGTAGTGCTGCTGTCTGGGCAAAATTTCCCTCACAGCACACTGTATGGCGTATGCCCGTCTTCATTAGCCCAGTTCGGAGCAGAACAGTAGGAGGTTAAACCCCATTTACCATGTAAAGTAAAGTGGTGCCTAGTTGTTTTAATGGCATAATGCTGTGCATTTAAGTTGCTCACATGACCATAGTAAAACACATAATAACCACATATTGGTCTCATAATGACTGACTAGAAATTCGCACCAGTATCTGGTTACAAATCAAGTATCAGAATAAGTAATTGTTATCTTAAAAGAATGGTCTCCTTGACTAAATGTTATCCTAAAAGAAGGAGCTCCTTGACTACATGTATAATATGTCTCTAGACATTTGTTCAAGCTCATTGCATGAACATCCTTCATTGAGTTTCAAAACCGAAATTTGTTTCTCATTTTCAATTAAATACACTTAAAATATAAGTAAGACGCACTTTTTATTTTAGAAAATTTTAGTTTTTATATACCGTACCATACTTTTTTGCCTAAATCTCTTTTTTGGGGGTTTTGAAAAAAAAAAATATATGAAATAAAATTGAGAATTAAAGAATGATTCAACATATAAAAAATGTTTTTTCTATTACCTAAGTTGTTTTCCTCCTTTTTTCTTTATCTTTTTTACTGTGCTTCACCAATTATAATTGGATAAACAAATAATTGAAATAAACCAATTAGACTGTAATTTCTGTATGAACTAACCAATAATATGATTCATTACAGGATTTAACCAGTGTCCAGAATCTTCAGAAGAGACATCAATTGATTGAAGCTGATGTCACAGCACATCAGGTATGTCTTTAATAGAATACATACCGGTACTTTTAAAAAAATCTAGAATAGTGAATGCAATTTTCAACTTTTACCACATAATAAGCATAACCACACGGATCTGGTAAACAAAGGTCTCATGTTTTCATCAGCTGTTAAAATTATTTAATCATATTTTGTTCATAAAAATAAAAATTGTCTTTCAAGGTTTTTTTTTTTTACATATTAACTGTGTTAGATACACCCTGACATTTATAACATTGATTCATATGGAGATGAAAGTGTCAGAATTAATATTGTATGGGGATAAACCAGCTGACTAATGGAGATAAGGTTTTAGTTAGTAAGCAAGTAAATAAATCTTTGAAAAATAAATTTTAAAAAATAAACAATTTACATGGGGTAAATCTAATTAGTTTCATTGTAGTTCTTGTTTTGATTCGTTTTTTTTCTGTTTTTGTCTGTTATAGGAAAGGATCGAGTCTTTAGCCCTACTGGCCAATCAGTTTAAAGATGAAGACCATTTTGATTCTGATACTATTGAAGCCAAGAAAGTTCAACTTGTTTCAAGATACCAGAAAATTAAGGTAGGAAATATAAAGTTCGCCAAGATATTAGTTACATGTATGTTACAGCACAAAATTTTATCTCAAAGGCAGACCTATGTCAAGTAAATTATCTGTGAAGTGAGTCTGACATTGTTAGGTGAATATTTGTTGTCTTCCGCTGCTAAGCAGAGATTACCAATTTGATTTGTCAGTGAATGGTGAACCATCAAAGAACTGTTTCATGTATTTCTATTGATGAGATACAACAACTCACATTTTGTAATATGGTACTACCTATGCTGAATTTTGTCTGTAAGATTTGTGTACGTACTACTTTTGGAAGCGATTCTACATGTATATTTCACTTGGATATAATTTAAGTAAATATTAATTTTGATATTTGTACATTGCAGGAACCAATGGTAGAACGTCAGAAGAAACTGGATGATGCTAAAAAACTTCAGCAGTTTCAGCGAGATGTTGCCGATGAAGAAGACTGGATCCGAGAGAAAGAACCAATCGCTGCCTCTACTAACAGAGGTAGAGATTCTAAGTTTACTATAAATAGATATTTCAAAGAATTGAACCAATTATTTTTAAGAGTGATATTCAGCATACCATCATAAAGGAACCATCAAAGAATTGTTTTTCTCTGATGTGTTACTTCAGTTAGTGATAGGGCAAGTTTTACACAAATAAAATTTTGTTTAGAAAGATTAAGCAGAACTTTGCCTGTTTACTAATTTTACAGATGTAAGGCTTTCAATAAAGACAGATGGTCATTACACAAAACAGATCAACATACCTGGCCAGGTATCATTTAATCGTGTGTATTTAGCACTAATTGTTTTCACATTCATTCAATATCAAATCTCTGTTTAAAAATTCGTAAAAATTGTTTAAAATCACCCAAAATCATCTAATTTGTACTTCTTCCAGTTTAAAGCTGACCATTCAGTTTTGATCATAAGTGTCTAATTTACAAGCGTTTAATTTCTCGATCACTTTTAAATAATAAACAACCCAATTGGTTATTGACGTATAATGATTAATTTTTTAATAGTGGTCAGGAAATTAAATACTTGTAACTTGGACACTCATTATCAAAATTAATCAGTCAGCTTTAAATTGGATACAAGTACAAATTAGATGATATTGGGTGATTTTAAATGATTTTTAAACGAATTGATATTAAACAAATGTGAATGAAAATGGTGCTAAATACACAAGATTAATGATACCTGGGTTACAGTGATATAAAATCCAATAAAATCAACAGTTTTATTCTTGATCCAGGTTGTGTCATTTTTTTTAAGTTCTACTTTTATTTAAGGTCGAGATTTGATTGGTGTACAGAATTTGATGAAGAAACACCAAGCTTTACAAGCAGAATTAGCAGGTCACGATCCCAGAATCAACAATGTTTGTCAACATGGCCGACAGATGATAAAAGAGGGACACTTCGCATCTAGTAATATTGCAGAAAGTGTTGACCAATTACAAGACAGATGGAGACAACTAAAGGTGAATGCAAATAAGTACAACAAAAATATATTACTACTCAAATACGTTAGAAGTGGTATCAGATGTTATATTGATAGTATGTTTATCCTGTCTGTGCACATTATTGTCACTTTAAATGGTTTACGTTACTGCCTTTAAAATGTCATATGAACCAGTTTGTGTTTGCTTCTCAAAATCTGATTTTCAAGATAAACATATGGTCTTGCTAGTAAACTTCCATCCTCTTTATTAACGTCCAGTACATTTGTTATTCTTTTAGGACAAATCATCGCAGAGAAAACAGGATCTAGAAGACTCTTTACAAGCACAGCAGTATTTTGCTGATGCCAACGAAGCTGAATCTTGGATGAAAGAAAAAGAACCAATTGCTGCTAATACTGATTATGGCAAAGATGAAGATTCTTCAGAGGTATGATATTATCACAAAAAAATTATGAAAAGAAAATTATTATTTATTTCAGCGATGAGATTTATAATAGAAAATTAAACCCAAAAGTAGTGTAGTTCTTTGTCAATCAGCAATTGATTAAATAACTTTAAACATTGTTATTTTCAGGCTCTACTAAAGAAACATGAAGCCTTTATGTCAGATTTAGAAGCCTATAGAAGTGTTATTGAAGGTTTACGGGAACAAGCTTCTTCTTGTAATGTAAGTAGATACATGATAATTGTATTTTTACCATATGACGAGAATGGTCTAAAACCTTAGATCTTCAGTCTATAAGCAATGCAATTGTCAGTTTCTCCATGTTCTTTAATTCCCCCCAAGTTAAAAATTCCTATAAACCAGTGAGAGTATAAAGAACACAGATCTATCATATTGTTGTCACAGAAATGATGTAGTTAAATGATCCTTAATGTAATAGAAATGTACCTTATAATACCATTGATGCTTCACTTTGTCATTTGGAAAAAGCGATTCTGCGAGACTCAATTTGCCCCTCTCGTATTTCATTCAAATTACATGTTAGTCCAACGTTAGAGCAGTGACAGTTCCTTTCATAGAATATATATATCAGTTTAAAGATTCAAGCTTGTCAGTTTTATCAGAGATTTTTTAAAAATAACTCAATTTAAGTTTTGTTTTAAATCAAATTCACAAATATCTTTCTCTAATATCTTCTAGCAACAAGAAGCTCCTATTATTGATGATCTTGGAACAGAGAAGGTCGTAGCTTTGTACGATTATACAGAGAAATCACCACGTGAAGTCTCCATGAAGAAGGGGGATGTTCTAACTCTCTTAAACAGTGTCAATAAGGTAAATACCTCCAGATGCTTATTAACCCATTGCTACTGCATTTAATCTGTAAGCCAGCATAAATAACTTACTTTTTGTACAATCACATTGAAATGTGGTTTATATTGTCATGTGTCAAAAAATGTTCTAGAAGCTAAAGCTATCATGCAGGTAACACAGAAATTTATGTTCACAACATGAATATGCCTATTGATATTAATCAATTTTCGATAATTATTGTTATTATTGTTTGTGTTATTGTCCTTGATCACTTTGAAAAATCTTATGGGTGCTCTAGTACAAAAAATGTTCTAAAGACCCACATGATGAAATTTTTGTTTATGATACAAAAATTATGCTTGCTTATTGTAAAGATGTTCTGGCCCCGAGTTCACCAAGCATTCTCAGACTTAAGTTAAAAATTTACTCAACTTTCAGTCACTTTTTATGAGAAATATCTTTGATCCAGAAACATAAAAACTTTGCACTTAGTTTCTTATTGATGTATTTAAAAAAAGGCAACAATTTTGAGTAAATTCTGAACTGAAGTCTGAGAATGCCTTGTGAAGTCGGGTCCTGGTCACTTGGATATTTCTCATAAATCTTTTAATAAGTTACATTACTAGTATCAGATTGTTGTGTTGAATGGTTATCACATATTCAATTATTGTATATTATATATGTCAATAGGATTGGTGGAAAGTTGAAGTCAATGATAGACAAGGTTTCGTACCAGCCGCTTATGTGAAGAAGTTAGATCCAAGTTTATCAGCAAGTAGAAATAACTTAATGGATGAATTTACCATCTCAGTTCGACAAAACCAGATTGAAACACAGTAAGTAGATTTTGTATTTGACGAGTGACTCGTTAGTATAATGTTAGTCCTGTTTTGATCTTTAGAATCTTCCAACAAATTTTCTCTTGTCAGTAGGGCAGGATGGAGGGCCTGGCAAGGAAAAATATCTAATCATTAAGAATGTTACGATAATTTTAAATTGCCACATGTTAATTTTAGAATATATGTTGTACATTGTTAGATATGACTAAGATTTAATGATTCATCTTGAATATTTTGTTAAGATTAATTTTTGATTGTTTAGAAAACAGTTTGAAATGACCTAATAAACACCAAATATCGCCTTCATTTCTAGATACGCAAATCTGTTGGATCTTGGTAACCAGAGACGAGAAAAGTTGGGTGAATCAACAAAAGCTTATCAGCTTGTTCGTGAAGCATCCGAATTGGCTGCATGGATTACAGAGAAAGAAAACAGTATGATTGGTGGAGAGGTCGGCGAGGATCTCGAACAAGTTGAAGAAATGCAGAAGAAGTACAATGACTTCCAGAAGGTAATAGAATTTTAGGACTTAAATTCTAAAATAGTAGATTCACATACTAAGTATATTTAACAAAGTTCAGGTTGGGGTTGTTTTTGTTTTTCGGAGTATACTTTTATGAAACTTTGTATACACATCATCCTACTATAGCAGTTAAGCTGCTTAGATATTTCTAAGGTTTAATTCATTTTTGTGGCCAAATGTTAGATTGTTGGGGGTTTTATATGATTTTATTTCTTTCAAACCATCAGAGTTGTTCTCTGACAGGTGTAATATATCTCGAATTGTCATTACTTCGATGTATTGATCAATTTTATTTTCGTATCTTTTTAGGATTTGAAAGCTAATGAAGCTAGACTTGAAGAACTCAACTCCATTGCTGACAGACTTACAGCCATGGGTCAAACTGAGGCTGCGGAGAATATCCGTGAACAAATTACAGTAAGTTTCATAGATTTATTCTAGAAAAGTCATTCCTGCTTTGTTATTATGGACAACTAAAGATAAACCATCAAAGATTACACAGTATAAATTCTTATGTGATTTAACACAGTATGTTTTAATTTAATTCTTGCTTGAAATCCAACATGGAAAATATGCCTAATCATTCTTAATTAATGAAAAACCATGGTTCGGTCACACAGCCCCCTTAAATATACAACAAATTTAAAACTGGTTAAAAACTATACATTCATGGTCACATCAAATACCAAGTTACTATTCATATATTCTGAGTCACTATCACTAGGTATTGTCAATCTGTAAATTCTCCTTTAATCTGTGTGAATTTAGTTTTGAAATTTAGGTCGATTTCATTGAAATGATATTAAATATTTCCTGTATGTGACCAAAATACGAATATAAATTTGCCTTTGTTTTAACTACCTTTGAATAACAAATACCAGAATTTTGGTTGAATAGTCTTGCAAAAAACATTTGCATTCGAACATTGTATACATTTACTAAAATGTAGAATTCAGCCTACAAGTCCATGTTTTAAATAATGTATTTGATTATCTTACAGCAACTAAATCAGAGATGGGTCACTCTACAACAAGTTTCAGCTGAACGTGCCCAGACATTGGGTAGTGCTTTCGAGGTTCAGAGATATCATCGTGAAGTTGATGAAACTAAAGACTGGATAGATGAAAAAGACCAAGCCTTGAACAATGACAATTATGGACATGATCTCGCAAGTGTTCAGGCTTTACAGAGAAAACATGACGCTATGGAGAGAGATTTAGCTGCCCTTGGAGAAAAGGTAAATTTTGTGAAGTTGGTCTCTGATGCTATTGTTGTGAAAGGCTTTTAGGGGTTAGAAAAGTCTTAAAAGTTAGATTCTTTGATTTAACAATTGTTTTGCTCTAAAGTGTGACAGGAATTTATATCACTATCTGTCACTTGAGTTATTGCTGTACATAATTATTATCAAAATGTGCAATTATTTTTCACATTCTTAAGGTAACTTTATTTTAAAAAAAGGGATTATAAATAATAACAGAACACTATTTTTATGGGAAACATAAAAATAGTGTTCTGTTATTGTGTTCCCCAATCACTAAATGCCACTTAAAGATTATAAATAACTGGAATTATTTGATTTTGTGTGAGATACTGCCAAGTTTTGTGCATTTTCTTTTGAAATTTTTATCAGTTGGAATACCATACCTTATTATAGAACATTATAGTTGTACATTGGTTAAAAAAAATTTTATTATTTTTTTTTATTTTTATTGTAGGTTATTGATTTGGATGAAATGTCAAAGAGGTTGATGCAGACACATCCTGATCAAGCTGAAACCATTCACGAACATCAAACAGAGATTAATGTACAATGGAATGCCCTAACAGCTAAGGTAAAAACGGGAAACATTTTTAATTCAAAATATCAAATGATTGAAATAGTTTATTGTACAAGGATGAGACACCCATGCGTATATTTTTTTGTAAATGTTATCTGAAAAACAATAACTGTTAACATTAGTCAACAATAAGAAAAAGGGTAATTAAAAGTAATTTTATCAAAATTTCCCTGATTTTTGAAGGCACATAAAGCTTTTTCAGTTGTAATAATATATTTTTTTGACTGGAATTTGTACTGATGTATTTCTATTTGCAGGCTGATAATCGTAAAGCTAAATTATTGGATGCTTTAGATCTACAGAGATTCCTCAGTGATTATAGGTAACATATTGCTATTTATATTTTTAAAGCTGAGCAAAACCAGCTAGGACATTCTTGGCCATTTTGCTTTTCTGACATTATGAAAAATGAATTGTTGTGTCAATGAATCTCATGTTGTCCATCTACTCTTTCAATACAAGTCACGACCTAATAATAGTCTTAATCATTTATAAACGTCATCCATTTAATGCAACAATAAGACCAAAGCTTCATTATTATGAGATTTATCAGATTTTCTTATAAATCTATTGGTTAATGGTCGTACAGTTGTTGAGGCAACAGTAATATTAATCTGTGCTATGATATGATTATTTTTCAACAGAGATTTGACATCATGGATCAACAGTATGATGGCGCTAGTATCCTCAGAAGAATTAGCGAAAGATGTAACAGGTGCAGAGGCATTATTGGAACGTCATCAGGTAAAACCACAGTTATCCTCTTTTGTTCTCAACTTCAAAAATATTTGCATCCGAATCAAGTTACCTACAGATATAAAATTTGATGGGGCTGTTGATATTATTATCAGAACCTTTTAGAATCCAATGTGGGGATGGTGCATCACAGAAGTAAAAAGTTGTGGTGCATCAAAGAAGTGAAGAGATGCTATTCTTCTTATCGCTGACTTGTTATTATTTATCATCTCCACATCATACCATTTCTGTTACTGTTAAACTATTATTGTCTATGTTCTAATTTTGTATTTCACACGCCACATGTCGAACATCTATGTATTTATTTTCATATTATTGTCAATCTCTTAATTTCGATTTTATGCACTTCCATTTTATAATGTTTCTTGTTTTTTTATTTTCGTCTGTTTTCACCACCATGTTTTTTCTCCAACCTTAATTTACAGATGTTTAGTTCTGAAATTGTCAGTCATTATGGAATTACCTCCCTTACTGACGAGGAGGAAGAAGAGGTAGATGCACGCCGCGTGGAGTTATTTCCCCCTTTCCCAAATTGCCATTTTAATGAATTGAATAGATTTTGTGTTTGACCAAATAATCTCACTTTTCACTTTACTATTTTAAAACGAAAGCCAGTCACAAATAATTAGAATTATTATGTTTTTCTCTGGACAAATTCACTGTATTCCAGATTTTAGAGACTCAAGTGAGTCGGAGTACTTGATGTATATAAATAATTTCATGACTTAAAATGACTGAATATAAGCTGTGACTTATCTCTAAACTCTTTTATAAATGGAGTCTGGTCTGCTTTACTCTGCAGCACGAAATGAAAAACACAAGAAAAGTGATGTTATTTGGTTATGATAAATTGGTTATAGAATGGTCATGTCTAATATTTACTACATTTAGACTAACATTAAAATAAATCATAATAGATGGATACACATTCATTTATACCATAATATTATAGGGAGATTAGAGACACATGAAAATCTAAAACAAATGTTCATTTGTGAACTCGAACAGTTATTGATGAACTGCATGTAATGAATCCAAAATGGAAAAACATTTAAAATCTGTTTAATATCTCGAAAGTATAATCTAAGTTCATCTAGATATTATTTTTGTTCTGTTTATTCGGTTGGTCACACCATTAACATCTAAAGACATGTTTAAGACAAGCATGTTGTGGTCCTTAGACAACAGCATGATGATTCAGTTGACCTTGATTTGACTGTCAATCTATTGTGTCAATAATAAAAACCATTCGAAAGATTTTGATGAATCTTCTGATTCATTTGTTTTGGTTGTTAGGTCATCTAGAGTCATTCAATAACAATCAGCATGTTACTGAATGCTGTGTGTAAAAGAAATGTCTTTAGATCACGATGAGGTACAGAAAAAAAACAAAAAGATAAAATGGAACAAAATATTGGTATAATTGTAATTTGACTGTCTGAAGAACTAATTAAAGACTTTATTTTCAGATTTTTAATCGCCATGATATTAGAAACATTAGAGAAAATGACTGCATGGTTAAAATAATTCACTGTTTCCCCCCCCCCCATCACTTGTTAAAGGGAGAACACTCCAAAGGAAAATGTGCATGAATCAAATCCTATCACTGTAGATCATTCGTCATATTTCACTTTAATAGATTGTTGTTTAGTTAATTGTTATGAAAGGATTTTAAACTGTTTTGAGTCAATATCAGTTTATTACTTATAACTTTTGTCTGTGCCAAAGTTTTGTAAAATGAAATTTCGAAATCTGACTTACAGTACACTACAAAAATAACAGATAAAAATTGTGCATTTTGTATGTAAAATTTTTATTTTTTTAAAAAAAAACCCTTTACTTTTGTAGTAGTCTTCAAAGATTCTTTTACAAAATGTGTGGCATGTAGACATCTGTTGAATAGAGCACCAAATTGCTATTATTACTATATTGCAAGTGTGTGCATTATTTATGAGAAGGCCAAGATTGTATTAAAGTAAACAATTAAAAGACTTGATAGATCTAGACTATGTAGTCGGTAGTCTCTAACATGCATGTCCTTTATTTCAAGTGTGAATTGATAATTCATTAGATCACAGAAGCATGATATAGATTTTTGGAAGATGCATCTTGGAAGGTTTATTTCCATTAAATAATATCTTCTCTAGGTTATTTAATTTGATTTTTAGTTCAATTTCAAGCACTTTTGGTCAAAGTAAGGAATGCATACACTTTGTATATAATATATATATATATTTTTTATTTCCATATTTCCTTCAAATATTTGTATTAATTTCTCTGAAATGAATTTCTTTTAAGTAAAGTCATGTTTTCGTACACATATTTCTGTACTTTTCTGTTTCATACCTGTTAATTATGTCATTGTCATAAAATAAATGTTTGGGTGTTTTAGATGACCATAACATACAATAGGATTGATCAATTTCTTGACTGCTTTTAATTGTGTATGGTCTGAAAGTCAATATTTAGCTTTTATTCTGGTATATTGTTATTTTAAAGCGATAGTCGAACTTTAGACAATGCATTTGGTGGTGGGATATGGTGAACCAGGAGGGAAATAAATATTTGTTATTTTATGGCAATGACTGACTAGCTATATATGTATCAATCCCTTCATATATTCACTGATTGCTACTCAAATACCTTTATTCACTGCATACAGGTTAGTTAAGTTATGAATTACGCAAATCGTCATTGTATATTGTTTTCTTCTTTAGGAACATCGGACAGAAATTGACGCCCGAGCTGGTACGTTCCAGGCTTTCGAACTTCTCGGCCAGCAGTTGTTACAGAATCAACATTATGCTAGTGATGATGTACAGACTAAACTTGAAGAATTAGCTAAAGCTAGAGAGGAATTAGAACAGTAAGTTGACATAGTTTATAAAGTCAATAATACAAGTAAACATAATGCAGATGGAAACTCTTGTTTAGGCACAATTTCCACCATTGTACATTGCCTACCATCTTCATTATCCCAGGGGGGTTGGATGGCCGAATGGTTAGCACGTGTGTGCTGTATCATAAGGCCTGTCATTGAGTCAACTGGCATGGTTTCGAATCCTCGATTGTACGTGACAAGGAGTTGGGTCGCCTGTCCTTCCTCGTGGGTTTTCTCCGGGTCCTCCGGTTTCCTCCCACTGCTAAAGACCCCTTCGCACAAGCGAATTATTGAAATAAAATTAAAACCATGTGTTAGTCCCGAAATGACCTGGTTTGTGTCGAGTGGACGTTAAACCACATTTCTCTCTCTCTCTCTCTCTCATTATCCCAGTTGGTGCAGAAAAGTAAGATGTTAACCCTATTTCATTTCAGTTTGTATTGCACATAAACATTCCCATGGCAATTATTGGTATTCAGTAGGAGGAAAATCAACTGTCTAGTTAAGATTCTTCTACATTAATCTGGACATGTAACATTAAACTTTAGAATTAACATTTGTGTTAATCTCAAAATGAAAATTCATCTTATAGTTTGTAATTTTTTTTAAAAAAAATTTCAGAGCATGGATTTCCCGTCGTATGAAATTAGACCAGTGTTTGGAACTACAGTTGTTTTATCGAGACTGTGAACAAGCAGAATCATGGATGGCTGCTCGTGAGGCTTTCCTTGCTGGAGATGCTGTTGATGGAGATAATGTGGAAACTCTAATCAAGAAACATGAAGATTTTGATCGAGCCATTAATTCCCAGGAAGAAAAGATTAATTCTCTACAACAGTTTGCTGAACAGTTGATGAATTCAGAGCATTATGCAGGAGATGCTGTTTCTGATAAGAGAAATCAAGTTTTAGAGAGGTATGCCTATTGTTACTGAAGGTTGATCAATCTCATCTGGATTATCAATTCTAGAATAATTGTTGCTCAAATCAATCTGATTAAAACACAGATCCAATTTCATTTCATTTTTTATAGTTCAAAATTTCGTTTTTACTTGTCTTGACTACACTTGGATCTGGAAGACTTGTTATTAGCCAATCAAATGGTCTGTCGAATCGAGCGTTTGACCTTTTTTACGCAAAACTGTGGGTAGACATTACCAATGATAGAAATCAAAACAAAGCTAAAGTAGATCTAAACAAGCATGGCGGTCGCTAATTGGTTAATCGAATGACTGACGTTATCGGGTCAAATGTCGCTTGCTTGGTACCTGATGTCATAGAACGTGAACTCGCACTATAACTTGTTAGATCTACATGTAGTGTAGGCCATCGAAAGTATAAAAAACGAAACGAAATATAGATCTATATTTTAATTAGATTGTGCTCAAATTGAATAATTTTGCAATAAAGTTTTGTAATTGAGCAATCTGATTAAACACAAATCTAATTCTTTTGGATTGTATTTATGCTTTTGATGACCTGCACTCCATAATTGAATTCAGGATTTACTCAAGAGCAAAATATTAGCAGTGATGTCAAAATTGTCTAGTTATTCTGTTGGTACCAAATTATCTGATTAAACATTTCCTTCCAACTGGGTTACATTGTTATGGTTATTTTACAGATGGTCCCAGTTGAAGGATGATCTCATTAAAAACCGTTCAAAACTTGGAGAAGCTCAAACCCTTCAACAATTCTCACGTGATGCTGATGAAATGGAGAACTGGTTACAAGAGAAACTACAGATTGCCAGTGATGAATCTTACAAAGATCCTACAAATATACAGGTATTTAATGTAATACCTAGAGATAATAGGATTCAAGATTCTTTGCTTTAAGATGGGATTGGGTGGTCAAACACATGCGCTTTAGATCATAAGGTCTGTCAATGAGTCAAGCAGTGTGGTTTCTAGCCTGTATGTGACAAGGAGTCAGCTTGCCTGTCTAACCTCGTTAATTTTCTCCAGTCGCCTTTGCTTTAACAAGAAAGAAACGTAGGAAGTAATCTCATTCATCTTGAATGGTGCTAATGCCGATGTAGGGGACATTAATTCACATTATTTGATTGCTTTTCAATTGTAAAATGAACAGGCTCCACAACACATTTAATCTTTTAAACTGGTTTATCAACTTAATATTTTCTTAGCTCACTTGGATTTCCTGTTTGTTTATAAGTTTTAATATGCTGTTTATATTTATTTTAGAGTAAACATCAGAAACATCAAGCATTTGAAGCTGAACTTGCAGCTAATACAGAACGATTACAATCTCTTCTAGGAACAGGACAAAGTAAGTACTGGTACTTAATAGGTTCTGTATTGAAAATCTATTCATACAGTCAGAAAATTTGTATAGTTTGTGATTTATTTATGAGAAGAATTGATTAAATCATTCTTAAAATTATTGCTGAATTTGTCATTTGTGATGATTTGTAAAGGGTGGCAAGAATCAGCACTGATTTTTAAATTATTTATTGTTTATCTTTATAGATCTGATTGACAATCGTCAATGTGCTGGATCAGAAGATGCTGTACAGAATCGTTTAGAAAGTTTAACTACCCAATGGGAGGATCTTGTCAGTAAATCTGCAGAAAAAAGTGAAAAACTGAAAGAAGCCAATCAGCAACAGACATATAATGCTGGTGTCAAAGACATTGACTTCTGGCTAGGGGAGGTAATTTATTATCAATAAAATTAATTCTGATCTCTTGAAGTTTGATATATTTTTATTCCAAATTGGGTTAAGGACAAAGTAGAAGAATAAAAGGATTGTCTCAAATGTTTCTATCCATGGTGCTAATGATATGTATTGAATAATGCCGTCAGCGGTGGCTTAGTGAGTATGATGCTGGCTCGCCAGGGCGGACGGCTTGACAAGGAACAGTGTCTAGTCGGTCGAATGGGATGAAAAATGAATTCCCATGTACACATTGGCATGCATGTAAAAGAACCATTGACAGCTGGAAAAAAAGAGTGGGCCATAGTGCTACTGTCCAGGCAAATTTCCCTCATAGATCACTGTATGGAATATGCCGTCTTCAATAGCCCAGAAATGTACGTGTAAAACCTCATTTAATTTCATTTCTGAATTCTATTCCCTAATACACATTCAGAACAATTTCTTTTAATGACAATATGGTCATAAACACACAGTTAAAATGTACAACATTTAATACATTCTTTTGATATTGACTGTTTTAGGTTGACCAGATGTTGGCATCAGAAGATTATGGTAAAGATTTAGCATCTGTACAAAATCTAGTTAAGAAACATCAACTATTGGAGGCTGATATTGCAGCTCACGAGGTAAAATTAATTCTCATCCAAAGACTTCAGACTTTTCTCAGCATCATCAATCAATAAATTAAAACTATTCAATTTAACTGAAGTACAACTTTACAAAGATTTTATGAAGTCAGCTTTAATTTACTTCATTTTTGCGTTCAACTAAAGCTATGTTCTGTTGATCTGCAACCTGTCATAACTGTGATTGCAAAGTTAAACCATAGCAAGGAGTGGTGTTTCTTGGTTTCTTCAGGTTGCTATAGAGATCTGGGCACAAAACCTCTTTGATATATGTTAAATCAGTGACTTAAAATCCAATGATATTGACACTTTTAATTTGTTGACTCAGATCAGTGATTCTCAACCAGTGTGCCGTGGCACACAGGTGTGCGCGAGATTTTCCTAAGTGTGCCATGGAATTTTGAACGGCACACTAAGAAAATATAAAAAACCACATGATCCCAATTGAGTATTCACTGGTGTCTACTGATAAGTTCATAGCGCTGGTGTTTTTCTGTATTTAGTTTGAGTCATTCTATGTGTCTATGACTAATCTCTGTCTGCAGCTGTATGCCGTCTGACTTGCCATGATTTTATTTTGCAAAATTCAAATGCTATTTTTTTCATGTGTTCCAATGTGTGCCATTGGCAAAAAAAGGTTGAGAACCACTGACCCAGATGAAAGAGGCAGTGCCAATTTAATATCTTTAATATGTTTAATCCACTAAAAATTATTTAAATAAGTATTCTGCAATGATTAGATATATTAATATGACTGATTGAAAAAAAGTCAAATATTTTGACTTAATGATGGAAAATTGCTAATGGACCTATTGTTATATTTTAGGAGCGTATTAAAGATTTGAACCAATCTGCTGATCAGTTTATCGAAGGTGGTGTCTGGGATGCCGAGAGTATCACAGACAGAAAACGTACCATCAACGAAAGATATGATCGTATCAAAGAATTAGCCATCCATCGTCGTAATATTCTAAACGAAGCCAACACAATGCATCAATTTTTGAGAGATATTGATGATGAAGAAGCATGGATTAAGTAAGTCAGAATTTTGATTTGATTTTAATTGTACATTGAGCTATTGTAAAAGTATTGTAAGTAAGTCATCTGAACTAATTCAATTTGTAATATTATATACTGTATCGGGAGAGGGGTTTTATATAGACTCAGCTTGTTCCCCAATCCCATTCACATGTCCTGAATAAGATAGTTTTATTAATTAGCATTAACAAATAAATATGTTTCCATTATTAACAGGGAGAAGAAATTATTGGTTGGATCTGAAGATTATGGACGAGATTTGACCGGTGTACAGAATCTCAGAAAGAAGCACAAACGTCTAGAAGCTGAACTCACTGTTCACGAACCAACCATTCAGGTGAATAGACAATTTCTGATAATTGCTTCTGGAGTTATTGCTATTGATTATGTTGGATAATCTTGTCAACGCTCCATTGATATTTTACATGCAAAGATTCTTTAAAATATTCCTTCTGTCTCTGGGAAACATTTCATATAAAATGTTCATTTCAGGGTGTACAAGAGACAGGCGAACAGTTGATAGCATCAGCTGAGATTGGTGCCAGTGACATCCGAGTTAGACTAGATCAACTAGACACTAACTGGAGAGAACTGAAAGATTCTGCTACTGATAGGTGAGTAGAAAAATGTACTTTGACTTTATACTGAGAAAATAACGTCAACTCAGAATGACCTAAGTAAAGTGTTAACATTTAATCCCTCTACATTTACCACCACACCCCATCATTCAATTCTTATTGCATTTTACAGAGGTCAGAAATTGGAACAGTCGTATGCCTATCAACAGTTCAGTGCTAATGTTGAAGAGGAAGAAGCCTGGATATCAGAAAAACAACATCTATTGTCAGGAGATGATTTTGGTGAAACATTGGCCGCAGTACAAGTCAGTCTTAAAATTAATTCAAACTTTTAATCATCATTATTGTGGTATTTTCCTAAAAATGTTTTAAATCTGCATTTAATGTTAAAGAATTTAATCCTTTGAAAAGCGGCAACTGAGAAAGGACTCGAATTTCTGACAAGGCATGTGCCAACTGAATATGATACAAAAACAGAAACATTTGATTTACACCACAATACTGTTCATGCCGTGTCTTTTTTTTTTTGCATTGGCAGAACTATTACATGTCTTAATTCTGTGTTATTCTATTTCCCTTCTGTCAAACAGACAGTGGAGCACTACCATGATGTTTTATATGCAGAATCCAGTAGACAAATTGACTATACACTAGGACTTCACTACAATGTTAATGTTGGGGAACCAAGAGGTGTATGTGCATTATACACACGGACCATTAATAGTGACAAGATAATAATTTTAATGGAAATATAACTGGTTATTACAAATAAAGATTTAGTAACAATTTGATTATTCATATTTCAGGGTTTAATTAAGAAACATGAAGCGTTTGAAACAGATTTCCAAGTTCACCGAGATAGATGTGTAGAGATTAAGAAAGAAGGAGAGAAACTTATTGAACAGGTAGGTAGAATATCAGCATGTCAAGAGGGCCTGACAAGGACAACTGTCTAGTTGTTTGGATGGGACAAAAAACAGAAAAGTAGGCTGTTAAACACCATTTCATTTATCAATACTGACTTAACATTAAAAGTTATTGTGTACTGTAAACAAGAAATGAAAACACCGCTTTTCCAATCACATGAAGTCTGTAGATCTATTCATAAATTCTCTGAAATCTTGTGCATAACTCAGTTGACATATATTTTTAATTAGATCACGTCCCCCCTTATACTTGGTATCTGTAGGTTTTCACAATCAGCCTTTTTTTTTTGCTTTAAGCAAGAAAAATGTGATTTAAAAGTTTAAACAGTTGAGTTCAAAAGGTTGCAATTTAAATAATTGTATGAAATTCTTATCTTCTAGTAACATTGTTTATTACAGGGAAATCACAATGCTGAAAATATTCGACAAAGAATTGCTAGTCTAGAAGAACATCTTAGTAAATTAGATTCTGTTGCCGCTGCTAGAAAAAAATATCTAGTCGACAACTCAGCTTACTTACAGTTTATGTGGAAAACCGATGTGGTGGAAAGTTGGATCAGTAAGTCACATTTCTATCAGACATCTTTGATACTTATTGTAACTTTAGTCACAAGCAAATGATATCTTGACAATAGTACATTGTCAAGGTGAATGTCATAGGTCACAACTTTTAATTGGTTTGTCTGATATTTTGAAATTTGTTATCCAACTTACAAACTTGTCTTTGTAATTTGGATCTATGGGTATCTCGGTATGTCAAAACTATATATCTTTATACTTACTGCTTATTGTTTTATAGGTGACAAAGAAACTCAAGTGGGTTCGGATGATTATGGCCGTGATTTGTCATCAGTTCAAACACTTCTCACCAAACAGGTAAATATCTCCAAATATATTTTTTATCTTTCTAAATTCATATTATCAATCCACTAATTAATATGCTGTAAATACATGAAATCTAAACAGAATCATTCCTATTAAGATAGTGGAAAGATTTTTCTTCCAAAGATAATAAATGAATTGTACCAGTTACTCTTTGAAGAAAGGATAATATCAAATGTTTTTATCGTAGGAAACTTTCGATGCTGGTCTTGAAGCCTTCAAGAAAGAAGGAATTCAGACAATCACTGCTTTAAAAGAACAGCTGATACAATCTAAACACATTCAAACATCTAAGATTGAACAAAGATATAACGAGGTTATGGTCAGGTAAGGTATAACTATAACCAAGAAATAAACAAAACGCATATTTCTAGAGTTGATTTTTTTATTTGAATGGCTTAATAAATGAAACTCATATTTCTCGTTGATTTTTAGATTTGAATATCTGAAACTCATATTTCTAGAGTTGAAATTTAGATTTGAAATACCTGTCTGGGAAATTTCTATTGGTAGGCCCTCACCCCACTAATTTTGTATAGTATTATACTGTTATATTTGAAATGATATATTGACCTTTTCACCAGTTTAACTGAATTAACAATCTTAACAGGTATATATTAATAAGATGATTTGCACTAAAGTTTACAAATAATTTTGACATAATTACAATGCAGATGGCAGAAATTATTGAATGATTCTGACGGTCGTAAACAGAAATTGTTGTTGTTACAAGATCAGTACAGACAGATTGAGGACCTTTATCTGACCTTCGCCAAGAAGGCGTCTGCTTTCAACAGTTGGTTTGAGAATGCAGAAGAAGATTTGACAGATCCAGTCAGATGTAACTCCATTGAAGAAATCAAGGTAAGAGTATACAGTCCCATCGTCCATAAGAATTTCATGTTACCTTTTGAAAACCAGTATTTAAGCATTCATCCATACATTGATATTTTTAAAACATAACTAAACATGGTGGTTTCCATCAATGACTTAAGTGAACAATCTCCATTATAAAATCATACAGCATTGTATTGTTTGCAAGAAGCTAAGATGTAACTTACAATATTGAATATTCAAATTGTTATTAAGAAAGGTATGATTTAGTATAAATGATTTTGAGGATTTGTTTTAGTTTTAATGTTTTGGAATGATGTTTTCAGTTGTCAAATATAAGGTTTTGTTTTATTTTTAGGCTCTAAGTGAAGCTCATGACCAATTCAAAGCTTCTCTAAGTGCTGCTCAGGCTGATTTCAACCAACTTGCTGCCCTAGATAAACAGATTAAAGAGTTCAATGTCGGACCCAATCCTTACACCTGGTTCACAATGGAGGCTCTCCAGGATACCTGGAAAAATCTTCAGAAAATTATCAAGGTAGAAAATTGTTTTTGATGTTTATCGTGTCTGGTGTTTTGGGATGTAGGTGATTTAAAATGGATCTGTTAAATCAAGTTCCGTTTTGTAAAAAATCTTGGGGAGATCAAGCATGTCTGTAAACAGATATTCACATATTTCACAGAACACCATAAATTATCATGGGTTTAAATATGCAAAACAGATGTTTAAATATGATGTAATAGATTTTGATATGTTGGATATATTTTGTACATGTTACAGGAACGAGATGGTGACCTAGCTCGTGAAGCACAAAGACAAGAAGAAAACGATCATCTTCGTCAACAGTTTGCTAGAGCTGCTAACACTTTCCATTCCTGGCTCACAGAAACAAGGTATTATTTTCTCTCTATTTTATCTCAGATCAGGAAAAACAGCTCTAGCTTTCAGATTGGCAGAAACAACACAAGGTTTCAGATTAGGAGAAACGACTCTAGGTTTCAGATCAGCAGAAACAACTCTAGGGGGATACTTGATTGAACGTTCCGGAATTAAAATCTCTTAATTCCAAAAATAATGTCAATCGAGTGAAAAGGAGAATTTCGAAGTACAAGGCATGTGCCGACTGCATAAAAAAATATCTCAACCAATCATGGCAGCTGAAACATATCTGTTACTTAAAATACGTCACGATTCTATTCACACCACCTCAACTGTCGGGACTGACAGAACTGTGACAGGACTGAATTCTGTATCACTTGATTGCAATTCTGTCAATTCGGGATGTTCCGGACTGACAATCGAGCAGCCTCTAGGTTTCAGATTAGGAGAAACAACTCTTGGTTTCAGGAAGATAAGGAACTGAATTAAAGATGGTAATTTTTTCGAACATCATACATGGAGTTTATAGATTGAATAAGGTTCATGTTATAGAATTCAAGTATATTTGACAGCAAATTGAGATCAAGTGAGGAATATTCAGTTTTGGATAAATGTACTGTAATTTGCCTTTTAAGGCAGAATATTAGGCTTTTAGGCTACTTGAGATAAACAAATAAAAAGGGAAAAAAAGATAAAAGTATTTATTTTATATTTATTGGTATATGTTTTTTTTTTCTATAGGATGTGGTTGATAACAGGGTTAAATATATTTTATATTAAGCATGGTTTGGATTGATCAGTATAGTTCAGATTAGTTCATTCCAAGTAATGACCATCAAAACATTCAAAGTTGATAAATCATCATTTATTTTAGCTGATGAAATCTCAGCTCAAGATGTAATGTTTTGATGAAATTTGTTTTTGTTGTGTTTTCTGTTTTAAATTGTTTGACATATTGAAGCAGTAAACCCTTTCATCTTTTATTATGAAACACATACAAGAAACTAATCTCCATCATCATCATCATCATCTTCATCTCCTGTGTTTCAGCAGTAGATCTGTAAAGCGTTTAACAATAAATGTTATTACTGATTATAACAGCAAATCGTTCTCATTTAGCAATATGGCTGCCTCAATGTTCTCCAACTAAATAATCTTAATTATAAGAAAGACAACATTTCTTATACAAACCGTGCTTTATTCTCTTTGTCTTGGGAGGTAAAAAAAAAAAAATATCCTGTTTGAATATAGACAATTGAATAGATTTTCATTAAGGCCAGACAAAAGAAATTATTGGTTTTTCATGCTACTAAGGAGAGATTATCACACTCATCAATAAAATATATGTAATCAATATTAGATCTATTCAAAATAATCTCAAAATTCAACTAATTATCGAAAATCTGACTTAAAATATATTTTTAATGAGTGTCTATTTAAATGAAAACCACTAAAAAATGAAAACAGCTACCACGATTTGTTTTAGAATTTGTATGCAACCTAATTCTTGGTTAAAATGTATAGATGAATCCAGTCAATTCTAAAATATATTTTTGAAAAAATGGGAAGACCTCATAAGTGCTAACACCTCTTTAACTATCTTAGATGTAAACCAAGACAAGTGATTTATATTTTTTTGTCTTTTAAATTTTATTGAACAAAATTGAAAATATGTTAACAAGAGAGACTAGGTTATTTAAAAAGGAAAAACAGCACTTTTAGTCTAAAACTAATAACTTATTTTGTATGGCCTAAAAGGATAAAGACTATGTCTATTTAAAACTGGATGGTTTGTGTGGTTTAGTTGTAATTGTGACATGTTCATTAAAAGATATGACAATTCACAGTTTTATGTTTTTCCTCCCTGATTTGATGTGAAACAAGTTCTACTAAAAAATCTTGCATGGCTTTCAAATAATGACTTTGTGTGATTTTAAATTCCTCTATGAAAACTGCTGTTTTAAGTGTCTCCAAGTTTTCCTACCTAGAAAGAAGCAGAAATAATATACCGTAATTCAAGAATTTTGATGTGATGGTATTAAGAATTGAAGTTTCTTATCTTATCTGGCCATGTTTGACAAGATTCCTTCCTGGAAGTGTTTGGTTACCATTATATATAATATAAGGATAGCATGACTTATTATTTGACTGTATGTATTTATAGATCAGCCATGATGGAAGGATCAGGAACATTAGAAGAACAGCTGGAAGCCACCAAGGTAAATTATAAAACTTTTTTTTTCTTTCTATCAAACCTGTAATGTAATTAGTAAAACCTGTGTCATTCTACCAATCCAAACCTTTGAATGCTTTGATTACAGTGATAGTGAAACCGAATATGCAAAATCATTTGTGACAATCTGGGCTTTCTGAACTAGAGGATTTACACAAATTCTGTGATCTCGGAAAGTTGGGTTAAAAGCTGATAAAGTCAAATATGTCTCCATGGAAACACAAAAATTCACATGCCTGAGAAACTTCTAGTTTGCAAAATGCACAACTACTTAATAGGTTTATATGTGTATCAAGTTTCCTGAAGTTTTCTTGATTTGAAATAGCCCTCCTACCAATTAAACTGACCTGTCTAGTGTGTCATTCATTGTCAGCAATTTGCAAACGTGGACATTTGGACTGCCGATATTGGCATATTATCCTGTAATTGATGCGTAATCTATATTTATATTTCAGACCAAGGCTACTGAAGTACGGGCACAGAAAGGTGATCTAAAGAAGATCGAGGTTTTAGGTGCTGCTATGGAGGAAAGACTCATCTTAGACAACAGGTCAGTTGCAACTAAATGATTTAAATAGTTGAGACTCTATATTAGTTAATTGTTGGGGTTAGAATGTGTTTGGAATGCTACAGGTTTATGTTAGGCATTATGGGTATTAAAGATAAATTTCACTTTAAAGCACAATATTGGTGTCAGTCATTATCACATATGTGATAGAACTGGTTAAACACGTTCTAAATATAAGTTTAATACAGAGATCATTGCAACGATAAATGTGAAATGGAAATGACGAAAGCAAAAGGAAAACACAAGTTATCCTTCAGTATAACTGACTGAAGTGATGAGTGATAACATACACAGACAAATTTCTGCTCACTAATAACATCTGCCAAGAATATATCTGTTGCTAAAAACAATAGATATTTACGTAATACATTATGAATGCTGTTATGAATGACAGGCCACTCTTAATTCCTATCTTTAGGATGGTTACCATGAAATATTCGAACAACAACATTTATGTGTTGATTTACGAAAGACCAAACAGTGTGTAAAAATAAACTTATTTGTATTCTTCAATTTTATTTTTAAGTTGATTAGTAGAAATATAAGGCTTTAAACCCTATTTTATTTCAATTATACATATATACTTGGATGAAAATATGTTGTAGGATAATAATAATAATAATTGCTGTATTTTAGGTATACTGAACACAGTACTGTTGGTCTAGCTCAACAATGGGATCAATTAGATCAGTTATGTATGAGAATGCAGCATAATCTAGAACAACAAATAGCTGCTAGAAATCGTAGTGGTGTATCTGAAGATGCTCTTAGAGAATTTAGTATGATGTTTAAGTAAGTATTGAAAATAGTTCACTTTTAACCAGTTTTGGCACTTCTCAGAAGAAAAACTTTTTTCAGGTGTAAAAAAGAGGTTGTTTTTGGCTGAAAATCCTTATGCGGAAATCAAAAGTTATGATCTTCTCTCTTCAACCTCTTATGCTTGTTCTGTTGGTGATAGAAAATATTCTACAATTAGAAGATGATAAAATGAACAAACCATATTTGTTGGCTGTTTTTTGAAAACTCTTCTGTTCTAATACGAAATAACATACCGAAGTTAGTCTTGAATTTCTTCATTTGTAATAAAAAATAATGTGTAATAGGGTGTGGATTTGCCTTGGGGGAATATGCCCAAGTAGCCAGTGTTCCTGTTGTAAAGTGGTATCACAAGACTTGTAGAAATATCTGTGTTGGTGAAGTAGATTAAAAATAATTATTGTTGACAATTTTCATGTCCTCCGATTTAAGTTATCAAATTTATCAATTTCTTTGATATTCATTCAATTAAGAGATTGATTGGTTTGTGATATTTATTAACATTTGAATTTGCAGAAATCTAAAAAAAAGTATGTAGCTTCTTTGTCCTTTGTATGCATACCAATTGAAATTAGCATTTGTGTCTTGGACACTGCTTCATGGGCTGATCATTTATAGATTATTGTTATTATTTCAGACATTTTGATAAAGATAAGAGTGGTAAACTAGATCACCAGGAATTTAAATCTTGTCTTCGAGCCCTGGGTTATGATCTTCCCATGGTAGAGGAAGGCCAGATAGATCCAGAATTCCAGGCTATTCTAGATGTAGTCGATCCAAACAGGTACAGTATACAAGATTTTTCACTATTATAGACATGTTGGCAGCTGGACATATTTTGTTTTTTTGATCAAATTTGCACGAAATTCATCAATTTAATTATTACACAGATAGCTTACTTTTGTCTGCAATCGGCAAATAAAGGTAGTCGTTATATTTAAATAGAGTTGGTAAAATGTATAGTTGATGTTTTCTTTTATTTTCAGGGATGGGTACGTTTCACTGCAAGAATACATGGCGTTCATGATCAGTCGGGAGACAGAAAATGTTCAATCCAGTTCAGAAGTGGAACAAGCGTTCAGAGCCCTTACGTCTGGAGAAAAACCTTATATTACAGCGCAAGAATTATATGCTGTAAGTTTGATTAAATACCTTATATATAAAATATCCTTGAGTTTGAATCTGGTCAATTGTAAGATGTAATGCCCATGGGAATAATTGAAGAAGTAGGCTAAATCTGTCTGATGGAATGAAAAAATGAAGTCCACCCATGTATTTAGTAGCGATTGGCATGCACACAAAAAAAGCAGTGACAGTTGCAATTCAACCAGTAGGAAGAAACCAGCTGTTAAAGGGAAATTCTTCTCCCTAGCATTTTACCTCTGATCATAGAAAACAAATCATGTTGTCTTAATAAATAGAAGTATGAGACATATATGCCATTCCTTTTCAATACTTAATGCCACAAGTATAAGAGTAGACTCCTTTTAGAAGTTTCGAATCCCCGGTTGTACGTGACAAGGAATAGGGTCGTCTGTCCAACCTCGTGGGATTTCCTCCCACTGCTAAAGACCCCTACGTGCAAGCGAATTATTGAAATAAAATTAAACCATGTGTTACTCCTGAAATGACCTAGTTTGTGTCGAGTGGACTTTAAACCCCATTTCTCTCTCTCTCTCTCTCTCTCTCCCCCCCAGATAGCAGTGTTTCTGTCACTACTTCTATATTGAGATGGATATATTTTCCATACTTTTTGTTTTGTTCTGGGAAATTAATTCAAAAATTAAATTTTTTCTTTCAGAATCTCACTAAAGAACAAGCTGATTATTGTATCACCCGCATGAAACCATATGTCGACAAAAGTGGACGCACCATCGCCGATTCCTACGACTATGCGAACTTTACACATCAATTATTTGTTAATTAAACTTTATTATTATCATTTTAATTATTATTCACTTTGCTGTAGATCTGTTTATTTCACCTTCATAGTTTAAGTAATATTCAACAGCTTTGGTAATATTCTTCACGGAAGAGTGGCATAATAAACTGTGGTGGAAATTTCTCACTGATTTTTTTTTATAACAGTTATGAATTAATTTTGTGCTGTTATAAATACTGTTGTGAAAATCACGAGAAATATTTCGAAAGTGCTTTTAAGGTTGTGAAAAGAATTTCTAGTGCAATTATCTTTTTTTTTTAAATTAAATATAAGCTTTTTATAAGATTTATACTAGACCTCAGAGTTCAGACATTAAATAAAAATTTAAATTGAATTAACTATTGCATGAAATTGTCATTGTAAAACCATTGTAGTGTCTATACTATTCAATAATTATGTGTTGCATTTTGAAATATTGGCATTAAATCAGCATTGATTAAAATAATCAGACACTTGTATTAACACAAGAAGAGGGTAAAAAAGCTTGGTTATTACGAAAATATGTGTTATATGTGGAATTTATTCAAATATGTCCTGTTGTCCATTATTAATAATTGATAGACCATTTTTGATGTCTTGTCTGTTCGTCTGTTGCATTTTGCTATTTTCTCTTTCTGTTGATGATAATAAACAGTTCATGGCTTTAAATGGCTTTGTTTTACTCTATACAAGATCTTTCAAGAAATGGAATACAGACTTGTTTTCCGAAGTCAGTGTGTCGGCCATTCCAGTAACAGAATAGAAAGAGAAATAAAGATAACTGTGATAAACACCTTTTGTTAGTTTGAGAGAAAAATCTAAGAAAAGGCAAAACAAATCAGCTACCTGTATTTACTAAATTTAGTCTCTGATCAGAGCCTTTAAAGATGAATTATGCAACAGCTAAATCTGCCAATTGCTGGTCTTTATTTTAGACTCTAATGGTACATAAACTATTATTTAGAAAATTATTTATGCCACAAGCATAGATGGCAGAGATTTGAATGGATTAGAACACAATAAGGGCTACATCTTTCAACACTCATAGCTTCGCTCAGAATAAAGTAATTTGAATGAAATTTTCAATATATTCAATTTTCATTATCTATCTTTGAACTATTATAGCAAAGAACTGTCAGCTCTTATCTAAATCTTATATAATGCATAAGACCTGGTTTACCTATTGATTCTTTAGGAATAGCACTGTTAATTCCCATGAATAGGAAATGACTGCTGGTAAGTTGCCTAGTGAAGGCCAAAGCAAAAAGGGTAATAATCGCATCAAAATGTATAATAGGACTGGTAACTAATCAGATGGGTTGGGTTATGGGTATCCGGGTGGTTTAACGTGCACTTTAAATTTCGGAAAAAATCAGGCATGAGTAGCACTATTCTCGTAAGCCAGTTAACATTGATATAATGGCCATATAGGGGATTCTTATCCCTTGTGTATCTTACTTGTCTTAGCATGGGGATACTATAATGATATACAGATTATTGTAATTGATTATTATTATGATAATCGCGTTTTGATTGCTGGATGCTTTCTAAATAGACAAATGCGTGTCATCTTTATTTTGGAACATCAGACTCACTGTTGTCATGGTTTTAACGGTAATGAATCTATCTCATTCACAAAAAAATCAATTGTGTATAAATACTTACAAAGGGTTATACGGTATTATATTTTTTACAAGATAAACTGTTAAATTAATTATTTAAAAAAATATAGTTACGTAAATTCAGTTATTAAATTCTTTAAACAGTTTTGTAAATCGTAGGAAGCGGTCTTTTGGGAAATTTGAAAGCTTATTTTCTTCGTTTTAAAATAATAATTGCTTATTTTTAAGCTACCATAAATACTTCTATACTTAGAAATGTCACAGTGCCCACGACCTTAATGTGTAAAACATTAATCATTAGTGTACCGTTTGGGAGCCACGATCGCCACAGGCACGTGAATGGATTAAAATAAAACTTCCTACTACTACTTGACTATATATTACAGTATATACTATATAGTACAGTATATATTGTAAATCGTCAAGCAGTAGTAAGAAATTTCATCCCTTCAAGTGTTTTTTCAGTGGCGTTTCACCTTATCAGTGGTGCAGGAAAGAGAACTTGACAAGAAACATTTCCTCGTCGATCGAATGGGACGAAAATCCTTGTCCTGTGTATTCTTTGCGCTTGGTGCAGAAAAGTAGGCAGGCCCGTAGCTAGCGGGGGAAAGGGGGCTGCCCCCCCCCCTTCTCTGGAGAAAATGGGCGCCAAAGGCGACCTTTCCATTGGACGCAATACGAAGACAACGACCAACGTGTCCATATCAGTATGAGCGTCCTATAAAGCCGAGTGACTTTTGGTGGGCCCCCACGACGTGATTGTCGGGGTGCCCAACCAATGTCACTTGGTTTTATGGGCGCCTCGCCAAGCATGTCGTTATATTATTATATGAGGCGTTCCCCAAATGGTGAGGCGCCTCATAATGAATCACACGATTAACAACACACGTTTATTGAGGGGGCCCATAATGCCGAGTGATTATGATGTTCATACCAAAATATCATAATACGCCGATATCGCAAATTCAGCCTCAAAATTGAAATTTTCCGTCATTTTCATAGTTTCTCTCCTCAGGTGCAAACCCTATTTTTCCAAAGTTTTCTGGGGGGGGGGGGGAGCCCCCAACATTTTTGGGCTAGCTACGGGCCTGGTAGAAAGTTAGTGAACCCCCTCCTTTCGACGACACAAGTTACGAATAGGCTCGTCAATATTATAATAAAAAATCTTTATTTTAATAATTCGCAAACCTGCTCACTTGAGAATGTCCGGCATCTTCAAACACTATTTCCTCTGTTAGTTTGACAAAATTGATTGAATGAAATCGGTTTCTCAGTACCGTTACTCTTTATATATTCATCCCAACATTTTGTTTATTGGAGATTCCTAAGTGGGTAAGGCGCTGGCTCGCTAGCCTGGAGGTCGGGTGTTCGATCCCTCCATTGGCCGAGAAAGTTCAGTGATGCAGGACGTAGGGCCTGACAAGGACAGCTGTCTAGTCCTTCGGATGAGACGAAAAACCGAGGTCCCGTGTATACATTGGAATGCACGTAAAAGATCCCTTGGCAGTTGGAATTCGACATAAGAGTAGGCGATAGTGCCGCTGCCCGGGCAAAATTTCCCTCATAGCACACTGTATGGCGTATGCCCGTCTTCATTAGCCCAGGTTAGGAGCAGAACAGTAGGACGTTAAACCCCATTTCATTTCATTTCATTTATTGGAGATTCACGTATGAATATCGCAAAACGGGTAGGTTTATTTTCTTTACACCAATTCAGGCATCCTAATTTATGATTTCTAGGTTAGTTTTATTATATAGATTTGGGGAAATGGCTTTCTCCGTTATTATCTATATATTTATCAATCCTGGAGTCTAATCTTTTATATTTTTTTATGTGAATCCACTGCTCATGTAGGCCTATCCTCATTTATGATTTTTTTAGTTCGTTTTAGAAAACTGATTTAAAGAAATGTGTCTGGAAAAGATTATGTAGATACGTCCCTAAAATCTGTTTTTTTTTAGATTCTGCATTTTCTATTTAGGTTAAGCATAACGATAATCAATTTGATTGGTCGTGACTTTGGAACACAATAACTCTTCTTATTGAGGTATAACTGAATCCATTTCCATACACATTTTTGTGATAAGTGTTACCGCCGAATCAGTATTGGGGGTTATTCAAGATGGTCGTCAGTTTTGGCGGGAAAATTTGAATTTTACATAAAAGGATATCAATATATACCCAAAATTCATTTTTGCGAATCGTTGTCTTTTACATGGTCTGTAAGAAAGACTAGCAGACGGTCCATTACAACAGATATAATATGTGGCTGCTGTTACAACAGTAAACAGTAACGCCTATTTTTTGGACATGCCAAGACAGGACAAATCAACATTGAGGCTGGTGTCCCTAAATAGATGACACCCATTAATTACTTGCACATCTAACATATTTATAAATCATCTAGCATTGAAATTGTTCATCACTCTGTGTAACCTAAGCATAAAATCTCATTGCTGAGCGTGCTGGGCAGGTAGTCAATCGCCTACCTTGCCCTGATAAATGTAAAAACAAAAGAAACTGGAAATGGTTGATAACACTCGAATCCGATGAGATTTTCTACCAGGTATACGGGAGGGAGCGGGGTGGCTATGTGCCCTCGAATTTCCACAGAGATATCTTGAATACTCAAGGAAATGCTCACCCTAATGCGAACATTGTGCCCCCTTTTTCTGCTGCTCTTCGCTTGTTCAAACCAAATCTAGAGATACTACAAACTAATCGCACTCAATTTACGTACGTAATATGTCCATGTTTCATTGATGATGTAAGGGCCCCATACAAGTTCAATCAGACCCTGATTTCCGGATGACTTCCAGAATAGATTTCACAGCCGGATTAATATTTCCATTATATTCAGAATCAACTAATTTGTCTTAGTTTTATTTATTTATCTAAATGAATTTAGGAAAACTGCAACACGGACGACGTGAGAGTTTTTGCCGGTCAGCATACTCAAGGCCTATACTACAGACATTTAATCTATCATAAGTAGCTTCCTTGGCCTGGCTTAAAGTGTATCATGATCGTCTTCTCGTTTTTGGGGTTGTCAGTCTACTTTCAATTCTATCCCCTACCCCTCCCCTCATTAGGAAACAGAATCGAATGAAAGGAATACCAGTCCCTTTTGATGCTTGTCTTTCTTTACTCACAGGTCGTTTAGTTCTTGATTGCAGCTAACTATGTTCATGTTCAGATCCATAGGACTTAATCATAATCCCTTCACCAAGTGTCAGTGTATATTAATATGTCAATGCTCACATAGACGCCAAAAAACTCAAATCGCTTCTAACATATGCC